AAAAAAAAAAAAAAAAGTAACCTACTTTTGTTCTTCAAGTCCATGAAGTGCTGGCTGGCTGTTCTTTGAATGTGCTATTTGTATTCTATGATTCACTCTGCACATGGATTCTAAGAGTCTAGAGAAGTAAGACTGCAGCTTTAGTATCGCTGGGAATTTGACAGTCCAGAACTAAACTAGCAAAAGGTCAAAAGTCTGATTTGGGTTTTCCAGATGCATCAACAGTTGAATATCATTTTTTCTTCTTGAGCTTTGAGGACTTTTCAAAGTGCTTATCACTGCTGAGCCACCGTGGCTCAGGCCTGTAATCCTAGTTACTCAAGGAGGCTGAGATCTGAGGATCACGGTTCAAAGCCAGCCCAGGCAGGAAAGTCCATGAGACTCCTATCTCCAATAAACCACTAGAAAACTGGAAGTGGCACTGTGGTTCAAGTGGTAGAGCGCTCACCTTGAGCTGAAGAGGGCAGGGACAGCTCCCAAGCCCCAGAGTTCAAGCCCCATTAACAACAACAAAAAAAAAAGAACAAAGTGCTTATCACTGCATTTCCATAGAGCTAACTCATTCCAAGCTCTAATGTCCCCGCAGTCTGAAGATGTCTTACTAAACAGACTACTTCTATTCCTTAGAAAGCTCTGTCTACAAAGCTGGCTCTAACAGTGGTTAATGCTTATAATCCTGGCTATTCAAGAAGGCTGACATACAAGGACTGAGGCTAGAAACTAGCAGGAAAGCCCATGAGACTCTCATCTCCAATTAACCAGCAAAAAAAAGTTGGAAGTAAAGCTGTGAATCAAGTGGTAGAGTATTGAGCAAAACATCTCAGGTTCAGTACTCAGGCCCAGTTCAAGTCCTAAGACTGGCACAAAAAATGAAGGAAAAAAGAAAAGAAAGTTCTTTCTACAGATATACTCACTCATATGACAAAACATCTTGTAGTAAAATTATGTTTTTAATTAAAAAAACATTAGATCTGCCCAGGAGAACAGCCCCCTTCCTGCCTCCCCACCCTTCCTGAAGGAAAGCATGTGGCATTATATAATCATCTGCCTGAAACCAGTAATCACCACTAATTGTCAATCACTGGACTGTGAGTCAGCAAAAGGACCCCAGGCTCTGAGGTCATTTCTGCATCCACTGAGGCCATACCTTGTTGCCTTTCCCTATATAATCTCTCTCTGCCATTAGTTTTCTCTTTGCACACCTACACCTGGTACAGGCAGGCAGTATGGTTCCCCCAATTAAACTCATTTCTGCCTGAACCATGTGGCAGTCTCCTTTCAGTAATCCTTTAACACAAACTTTCCAAGTTAAATGAAACTTCACTCATACTATTTGAAGTATCAATAATTCAGAGCAAAACCAAGTGCCAGTAACTCATGACTATAATGCTAGCTTCTCATAAGGCTGAGATCTTAGGATCACAGCTGAAAGCTGAGGATCACGATTGAGAGCCAGCCCTGGCAGACACATTCTCAAAACTCTCATCACCAATACCAATTATCTAGCAAAGAGTTGGAATTGAATGCATGACCCAAGTGGTAGAGTATGTCTCATATTAACATCAAAAATACATACATACATATATAAATATTAAAAACCAAGAGCAAGGAAAACAGTAAATAAGCCTCCCTTCAAGAAATATGTACATATTATCTTTTGAAAAAAAATAACAAGCCCAGCACCAGTGGCTCAGACTAATCCTAGCTACTCAGGAGGCTGCGATCTGAGGATCAAGGTTCAAAGCCAGCCCAGGCAGGAAGTCTGTGAGACTCTTATCTCCAATTAACCACTAGAAAACCGGAAGCAGTTCTGTGGCTCAAGTGGTAGAGTGTTTGCCTTGCGCTTAAGAGCTGAAGAGCACAAGCCCAGAGTTCAAGCCCCACAACAACAACAACAACAACCACGACTACCAAAAAAAAATAAAAAAGAATAACAAGCCAAGCACTAGTGGTGATGCTTTTAATTCTAGCTACTCGGGAAGTTGAGATTTCAATGGCTGAAGTTTGAGGCTAGTCTGGGCAGAAAAGTTTGTCAGATAGCTGTACTATGGCCTGAGAGGATTGAGGATCCAAGATAGCCTGGGTAGAAAAGTCCACAGGACTCCATCTCAATGGAAAAGAAATTGGGTATGGTGGATAGAACTTGTCACCACTGCTACAAGGGGAAGCCTAGAATAGGTGGACTGTAGTTCAGGGACAAACCCAGGAAGAAAATGAGACATCTCAAAAATAACTAGCGCAAAAAAAGGACTGGAAGTATGGCTCAGTGGTAGAGTGCCAGCCTAACAAACTTGATGCCCTAATTTCCCACCGCAGAATTACCCCTTCAAACAACAACAAGAACAATCCTTCTAATAGTATACAAAAGACTCAAGTACATTCTTACATGATCTGCCAAAATAATAAATCAACTCACTTGTCTTTTGGCTTCTCTCAATTTTCTTTTGAGGGCTGTCAAAATTCTTTGTACTTCCCATAATCTTTCTTCTTTAGATAAATCCTTTATCCCACCCTGCAGGTCTCGATGTAAACAATTCAAAAGAAACTCCTAGGAACAACAATGCACACTGAGTAGTATCACACATCTTACTATCTAAAATGACACATGTAATTTCCAAAGGTATAGAAACAAATATTTTTCAATTATCACAGAAATGAAGTAAAAGTATAATATTTTTTAGTATTTTTTTCAAGAATACCACTAAAAACAATTTGTTTCACCTGGGAATTAAGGTCTCATTTAATAATAGTTACTTTATATCTTTTACACTGTCCCTCTCTCAGTTATCATGATAAGAAACGGGAGCTTAAGGCAGAGAAGCAGGGATTTGATAATATGCATGCAAACAATCTAATTTCTTAGATTCCTTTTTCAATTTCAAAACATACACATACAAATGGCAGTATTGTTAAAATAATATGGTAAAAAAAAAAACCCTCAAAATTTGGACTAAATCTTGGAAGTATAGTCTGATAATCATGTTCTTAAATTTCATTTTATTTTGAGACCTTTCCATATACACAGTGGCTCTCCAAGGACTAGGAGGGAGGTCAGAGCACCTGCAGGCATAAATCTGGCTGAGACAGAGCTCAATTCCAACAACAAAGGCCTCCTAGGCACAGCTTGGTACAGAGTAAATTATGTAACTTCCCTAATTTCCAGCATCTTATCTGTAAAATATGGATATTAACAACAACTCTGTCTATATAGGCAAACATTTTTGAACTAGATCTGGTCCTTTTATTTTAAGGTATTATTTCACTAGGGAATTCTTCACAGTCAAGAGGATCCATTTTAAAATGAGGATACCAAAGCTGAAAGAGTTGAAGAAAATTGCCTTCAATTAGTATATTAAGAAAGAACGAAGTAGGAATTCAAAGCCAGTCTTTTGATTTAAACCCTACTTTATTTTGAATATTTGACTTATTTGGCATGAATCAATACCAGCTGAAAATGTCTGGGTGCCATGAAAAATATGCCCTAAACAGATCCAGCCATATAAGAAGTGTTAGCAAGACAAGAGTTAATCTTCTTGGCTTCACAGTGGCCAAAGTAGGAGCAAGGGAGAGTTAGGCTCATACCTGTCTTCTGATCTCCTCCTTGATTCCAGCCTGGGTCTCCGGTAATGTGGGCATTGTGGCCATGTTGGACCAGCGCAGAGGTCTTGTTACTGGCTTTAATACCACATTTCCAAAGAGCTCTTGTGCATGTGTGAAAAGCACATACAGAACACGATTGCTGATCTAGAGGAAAATAAATGTTTGCAGGAAAACAATTAAAATTATTTTATTTCTTAAAAGGGTACAGGAAATGTAATGGGGGGCGCTGAAATTAATTGCAATACAGTATAATCTTTCCCCTATAACTGATATAAACCAACAAAAAAAAGTCTTTAGTGTCTATCATCCTTCAATCCTGGACACATGAAAGAAAATTCTCTGCAGGAGTATTGAAACGGACTTTGCTAATTACTGTTCAACTTAAGAAAAAAAAAAAGTCAAGATCTGAGTTAATTCATGTGCTCAAGCACCATAAGGAATTCAAGTGGGGGGAAAGCCACAAAAAGGATGCAAAAGTTGTTTACCATCAATTTGTTCTTTTCTATTACTATAATATTAACTGATTTGAAGAAGTTAATGTTTTAATTTACAATATATTTTGAGACATTTCCACACACAAATGGCTCTTCTGAGGACTAGGTAGAAGGTCAGAGCATCTGCAAGTTTAAAGCTGGCTGGAGCAGATCTCAGCTCCAGAAGCAAAGGCCTCTTGGGTGTACAATATAGTAGTGCTCAAAGATAAGGTTCCATGCTAGGAGACTAGGACTGCAGGCTGGATGAATAGCTAGTAAAATAAATCCTTTCTTCCTCAAACTCACTCTTATAACACATTTGGTACTTCTGTGATATTATCAGCTACATTATGTAGATGTACATAAGGCAATATTTACCAGATTCTGAAATATGAATACAAATGACCATTACATTGTGAGAAATGAGAAATATTTTATTTCTAAAATATAATAAAAAACTATTGTGCCTTTTTTCTTTGAGCCTGAGTAAAATATCATCAATTCTAAAGGCAAGCACACACTCTATGACAGTATCAACTGAAAACAGCAGAGAGACCAAATATGTACGTTGTATTCATTTCTACCAATTCATAACATCATCAATTCCACGAAAATAAACCTGTAAAATATGTTTCTCTGGTATGAAATCCCATTAAATCCTTGACTATAAGTTAACATTAGGCTCCTTTATTGTTCAATATATGAATGGTATATAATTAAGCAATAATGTTATTTGATAAAATAACTTAAATCTTTTAAATTTCATAGATATGCTCCCTCTCTACAAAGGGCAGATCATTGTCATCAAGAACTGGCTTGTATGGGGCTGGGAAGGTGGCTCAGTGGTAGAGCGCTTGCCTTGCATTCATGAGGCTCTGGGATCGATTCCTCAGCACCACATAAGCAAAAAGAAAAAAGCTGAAAGTGGCACTGTGCTAGCCTTGAGCTGAAGAGCTGAGGGACAGCGCCCAGGCCTAGAGTTCAGGCCCCATGACCGGACCCAAAAAAGAAAAAAAAAAAAGAACTGGCTTGTAAACCCACATCACAGACTGTATAATATTCAAGTTTCACAGCTATAAGCAAAAGTGCAAATATTACCTTACAGGTAGACACTGTCCACACTTTAAGCAAACTTATCCCTTATCCATCTTTTCAGATTCATGACACTCAGCAACCATCCTTGACTTCCCAGAGCAGTACTGGGAAACAATGTATAGAGAAGATCCATACCTGTACAGTTGGGCTGAGAACTATAGAGATGTTCTGTATATTCATTTTTGTTTCCAGTTCCTTTGTGATGACGTGGTCCATGTGCACAATGAGCCAGGAAATCAGAAGGTAGTTACATTCCGGGAGCTCCTTGAGCAAACGCTGGAATTCTTGAACTTTCTCAATCTCTGTGGTCCTCCCACAAGCCTCTTCAAATCGGGGCGTAAGCTCTTTGGTAAGCAAATTCTCTGGAAGGTCTCGCAAATATTGCTTCAGCAAACTGGCTATGGTATTAGGCTCATATTCTTCTAAGTTTGGAGATTCCTCTTGGTCATAGGCTGCTTTTAGCTCATCCACCTTTGATTTAATTCCTTAACACATCCATATTCAGAAGAAAGAATACCAGAAATCAAACACTCAAGCTTTGTTTCCACTATACCCACCCCTGAGAATATCTACCTAACCAACAACAACTATTATCAAGCTCTTAGGTTACCTAAAAGATGATACTTCAAAGGTAAACATAATCAGAAGCTAAATAATAAATGAAAATTTCAATATTCAGAGCAACCACGCATGTATTAAGTAACTACGTCAATGAACTGAGGAACAAAAATATTTTAAAGTAACTAGGTAAAATTTTGGAGAAAAAATAAACTACAATCCAATTGTAAGTCTTGCTCTATGCGGGCAGTCACCAGCCTTTTCTAACCCCTCATACAACATAAAATTGGCTTACCTAAGCGTATCTCCTAAGGTTGTAGGTAAATTTTTTTTTGTAAATAAAAGTTGTAACTGAAAAAGGTGAGTTATATATCTAAATGAATTCTTCGAAAAGTATTCTCCACTGAATCTAGTTGTCTCTCATTCGTTCCCATTTATTGTGTGTGCAGAGGGGACAATAGTACTAGGGTTTGAACTCAGGGTCTTGGGCTTGCTAGATAGGCACTACACTATGTGAACCATGCTCCAATTTGTCACTTTTCAGGTTGGGTATTAAATTTTTTCTCAGACCATGATCCTCCTACTCAGGTAGGTAAGATTACAGTTGTATATCATCATTATCTGGCTTAATTATTGAGATGGGGATCTAGATAACACTGTTCCCAGGCTGGCCTCAAACTGTGTTCCTCCTGATCTGTGCGTACCAAGAACATGAAATTAGAGGAATGAACCACTATATGTGCCCTAGTATCTGTTTTAGAATTTAAGCTCTTTTAAGTGTTTTCTTAACCCAGACAGAACTAGAACAAAAAAATAAAGCAAAATTTGAGATTATAAAATCAAATTGTTTGGCTTTTCTTAATGAACAGAAAAAAACTCAACACCTAAAGTGAATCTTTTTTCAACATAGTATCAGAGTTGAATGTCCAATCCACATTAAGAGACATAATTCAGAGATAGTGATTGTTCATGAGAGTACAAACTAGCTTTGTGCTTTTCTAATTCTTTTTTTTTTTTGGGTCCAGTCATGGGGCTTGAACTCTGGGCTTGGGCGCTGTTCCTCAGCTCTTCAGCCCAAGGCTAGCGCTCTACCACTTGAGCCACAGCGCCAACT